CTTTTGAATTAATTATAGACATGCGAAGTTGTTGATTTTGTATGGGAAATGGGTGGCCCCCACTAGGGTGGCCCCAGTAAGGGTGGTTTGACTTACATCGAGTAAGTCATTCATAGCAACTCAGACTTGGCTTTAGGCCCGCTAGTATGATAGCCATGATCCAAAATTGCACATACACCCACACGCCTATTTATACGTAACTGGAAATAGCATCTTCGATGTATAATATAGTATATAACATAGTAATGGCGTTGAAGGATCTGACATTAACATTTAGTATTAAGAGTCCTACTTACCTTATTAACGGCATGCAATCATCTCATAATAACACATACTTGAGAATAGTAAGGAGAGAGCACCTTTAATAAACCAAGGTTCTATGTCCGTTTCTCTTATTGATAATAAATCCTTTGATGTCAAGGTCAATGAGAAATAGGTAACTGGGGATTCTATTTAATCCTTAGCTATCGCGTAGCATCTAACGTCTCTATTCATTTAGCCATGGGCTAGTAGGAAAGAGATATAATCGTATATGAACTTTTCTATGTACCCCCTTTTTCTAATAAAGTTAACTATCTAAAAGGCGAGGCGCTTACATCACTAAAATAATAGAGTAAATGTTTGCCTTCAACTAATTATAGTTTAAATTTTATAATAAGATATCTTAAGTATATAGGGTCAGCGGTGGTTTGAAACTTGAATATAGATGTTATATGCATTAAGTATAAACATGACTGCATACTTTAAACAGCTAAAGCGAAACAACAAATGGTATATATAACATGGACATCGTAAACAGTAAACTGGATAGCCGACCTAAACGACTAGCCTAGTATGTTACCGAGAGCTCTGCTTCTTCTCATTCTTGGCCGCCTTTTTAGCCTCCTTCTCGGCCCGCGCCGCTTCCCACTCATCTAAATTTTGAATTAGAATCCAATCTAGAGATTTAGCCCTACCACGTTCCAGCCAGCAATCCTTGAGCTTCTTGCCCTTCAAATGCCTCTTCCAAGCCAGCTTTCTGCTTCTTTTAGCCTGCTTCTCAGCTTTCGCAATCTTGTGCTTGACTTCCCACGCAGCCATTCGAGCAAGCACGGTCGTCCGCCCGCTTGGAGGAGGGAGGTCGTCGAATGACAGTTCGCACGCCCACCTGGACATGTACTTAATGCATCTTTCCTGACTGCTTAAATCGAGGGTTTCTTCAGTAAGGGGGGCCAATAAGGTCTCTTTCTTGTCGTGGTTAAACATCTTCATTATCCGCTTAGAACTGATAATCACCACGTGTAATTTGCGAGGATGGAAGTATTTCTCGTTCATGATGCTGGAATACTTCTTGCACCGTCTATGATTTACGATAGCCATTCCAATGCTTACTGCTAGTTCCAACGCAGCGGCGATTCCATCAGTTCCGTTGTAAGGAATGAATCCAACAGCAAAGGCTGCGACCAGAGCCGCACGACCGGCTATAGGAGGTCTAATGAGGGTATTAAGATTGTCGATACATGCTAATAAATCCTCCGGGGTGACGGTGTGGTTTGCCAATTCTGGCGCCCAGGCACGTGCGAATGGGATGTGAAGCCCTGGTTCAACACGGGGGATTAAGACTAGCTTTTGTAGTGATGATAGCTCTGCGCCTTGCGGGATAGGGGGGAAACATGATGTTGCTATATCGAGTATCTGAGTCTCAGTGACTTCTATATACGAGGATTCGGTGGTCCTTCAAGGGACTCTTAGGGATTTATCGCTGTCCTTATGGGTATTAGTCGTAGCGACTAGCTGATCGTCATGCGGGGTGGACGGACCCGACGTTTCGGCCTTTGACCTCATAGATCGCCGGGTCTTCACCAAAGTAACCATAATATCCCCCAAAGGTTACTTAGATGACATAGTTAAATATGATAAGCACCATCAAGCTAAGAGGACCGAGTTCTACTCGCGTAGCTAATGGTTTAATTTTATTTAAAAATAAATTATGGAATAGCTTATATCTTGCATTGAAGATCAGAGAAGCGTTACATGCAGTCAGCGTCTCGGCGTTTTAAGCTGAATTGACAGAATAGGTAGTTAATAAATATAACATATATCAACAACCCCAAATGAATATCAGCCCTTAGCTTGTGTGTAGAATCTTTGTAGAATAGCCCTAGATATTAGAAAAGCAGCGACGGTGATGCCATTATATAAGGCGATTGAAGATCAATTATACTTTCTGCTGATAAATTAACTACGTATGTATTTTAGCGCGAAATCCTGAGTTGAAATTCACCTAAGCTACATCAAATGACAACTAATAGCGAGGCTGTATCTGCACGAGAATGTATGGAATAATGGAATGGTGATACTTCGTATGTAGGTAGACTTGGGAAAGTACCGAAGTACTTGGGTGGATATGGAAATAGCAGCCATGTGACCTTGTGTAATGGGTATTCGGCAAGCTCGGGCTATGCAAGTACATTCTAGAACTTAATCGGATAAAAGACAGTGCTTATTCGACACGTTTACTGTCATATCTGTCCACTGCTGCCAGGTGATTACAGCTGTATAGCCCCTGACTATCAATTGTCGCACAGCTGATAAGGTGTGACGCAGCTCGTCATCCAGGTCCGCAAGGTCCGGTTCTTTCAAGTGAAGGTTCCATTCAACCTTACAAACTACAAACTGACACAATCAAACACGCCACCAACCAAACCTTTCCCTTCTTTTCTTCATCAAAACAACGACACATTCCTATTTCTTTTCATTATCCTGCGCTTCTATGAAACATTAAACCTATTCGTCTGCTGCTATCATAACACCCAAGATGCAGTTGACATCTATTATTACCGCCGCTGGCCTGGCGGCCCTATCTAACGCATTCCTTCTCCCTCCTGACATCTCCGAATCCGACAAGGACATAATCACCACCCTTCCAGTTCCTGTTGGAGTCGATACTGCCATCGCAGCCGTCGAGTCCCAGAACTTGAAGCTCAAGTGTCCCGGCTGTCCTGTCCCCATCCCTCACCATGGAAAAGTCAAGATCGTAAACGATATCCCGAGCCATTTGGAGCTGGACTTTGGCATCGTGCCTTCCGACAATGCCGATCGCTTGATGTTGAACGGCTTCGAGCTTTTTCCTAACCCAGACCCCTTTCGAAACACCCTTACCGCTGCTGTTCGTCCCGATGTCCTCCATCGACAAATGAAGAAGCGGCCTCAGTTTAAGGGCCCTAAGCCTCAGACTCTAGGCTTTGGCATGCAGACCCGGCCCGTTGCTAAGAACGAGGAAGACGCGTTGGAGCTCATCGAGATCAACCTTGACATCATCGAAGTTGGCGATGTCTTTGTCGATGGTATTCCAAACGTCCAGGTCAATGTTGTCAAGACTCCTACCGGCAAGTTGATGCTTGGTGAAATCAAAACTATTGTATCCGAGACGGCGCAAAGCAATCCTATGGATAAGCAAGAGGAATGCACCACTCTACTTTGCAAGTGGAAGGCTGTTATTATGCAGAAACTTGCCGGCCTTCGTTTCCACAAAGGATGTGGTGGTCGCCCTGCTCACGTTAAGGGCCATGACGAAGTCAAGGATAATGATGAGGCCAAGGTAGAGGAACCTCAAGAACCCCACCATGGTCATCGTCAAAAGAACTGGGGATTGTTGTTTAAGAATATCGCTTCCCACATCCTACTGCCTGTTGCCGTCGGTATCTTTGCTGGTATCACTGCTTGCATGTAAGTTTTCTCTATTAATGATAAATAGTAAGAATGCATACTAATCAAATTTCAGTCTCGGCATGATTGCTGGTACAATCGCCGTCTTCATCTGGCGTGCGATTGCCCGCCGTGGTCACTCCCGCCGACACCACCGTCACAGCCATCACCACAAGACCTCTCATACCGAAGCTGTTGTCAACGAAGAGAAGTCGGGCCTGATGGCTAACCAGGAAGAAATTGATGCTCCACCCGCCTACGTCGAGGAAGGTATTGTCGTTATTGACGACAAGAAGACTGAGAACGTAGTCTAAGAAAGTGATACCCCGGTCGTTTTAACGGCAACTCCTAACGGACTCTTAACGGACATTAACATCAAGGTTTCTTAGCGAGGACTGACAGGCAGATTTGTAACGCCTATCGGGAATAAGATAGGTGGATATGGTTGGCGTTGAATATTGCTTGTACAAGGACAAGGAAATATTATACTGGGAAATGGCAAATGGTTGGTATCGATGGATGATGTATTCTGATTACACTGGTGGAATCTCTCCTTTCGTCCTTTTTCCTTTCTGGTTGTATCGTGTACTTTGGCAAACAGAATACCCACGTTCCTTTCAATTTACATCTGTAGGAAGTATCCGTAATCAATTTGGTGCCATTATTATAACCCAGAGGCTACATCAAGATCGTAGCAAATTAGCAGTGCCTCTTCCCAGTGACGCATAGTAATAGGCCATGAATGTTTGCGATTATTATATTGCTGGCGGTACCATTTACTGCAACCTTTCCCCTTTTGCACTGAAATAGAGATGGGGATATAATGCTTAACCGTGTAACCTAGTACTATAGACTAAAGTTATCCGAGAATCTCATATACTTCCCCCTTTTGTAAAATGCCGTGTATTTTACAAATCACGACATCGACATCATTCAGGGAGGTGGGGAATACAAATGATTTCAATGTTTTGACTTTTTTTTTGTCTGTAAAAGTCAAAACATTCCAAGTTTAGTAATGTTTATAGTAAAGTAATAAAATCATGTACAAATAAAAACAGCTACTTAGCTCCCGACACATAGAGCCCAAATGTTACTTCTAGCTTAAACTTCCGAGATACACTAGATGATTAGCTCGAAGGCGCCGTGATGAATAAATATATATAGAAGAAGAAAGAGCTTAGTATAATGGTATTTTTATATTCTGATGATGATAGCTTACAACTTAGGTGCTAACTAGTTAAGTAAAGTTTAACTTTAGTTGTTAACGGCTCACGAGCTTCTTAGGCAACTAGGCCAAGGCAATACGGAGCACCGAGACCTGTGATGATATATGTATGTGTGATGCGAGGTTTTATACACCTATTGACTACTCAACCGCCGCTTTTTTTTTTCTTTCATCAACACCCTTCCGTAATGCTCTTCGATATTAGGGTTGAAACTCGTCACATTACCCCTTTATATATGGATCATGGGGGAATCTATTGTGTTATATAACCACAAGCTATATTTGCAAGTGCCTATGAGTATAACTGTATTTGATAATGATTTCATTTTCTCAAGAATTTAGTTATTATCAAAAGCCCATTACAGTCACTGTTACAAGCCTGATTTATGAGGAGCAATAAAAGAGTGAATTAACTAAAAGATAAAGGATAAAAGCGAAGTCTTTTCCTATTTACTTTCCCCCTGTCCTATGCTGTGAAGCTTGAGCTCTACTCCTTGCAAATCCTGCCTATAGATCATCTCTTACTGCCGTAACTTTCGCACAATGCCCTTTTCGGAAGCTGCTAAAGAACTACGCGCCATCCGCGTAGTGTAGTTTGCAAACTTAGGCCAAAGGGGTTGGGGTCGGAGCTGGGAGGCAAGTGGCGCACTCGTCGCATTGCCCATGTAACACCACCTCCTTTGTACAGTTGGGGAGGGTGCTGGTCGTGATGGTAGGTAGAGGGGGAGCGGTAGGCTCGCCGAGGCTACAGGTCCTGGTTGGTGAGAGACACACTGGGTGGCAGACTCCGACAGGAGGAACAGTGGTTGTAATGGTTGCGACACTGGTGCATACTATGTGACCCGGTAGTGTAGTTGGCTCGGCGGGAGCAGCATTGGCGCTACAAGTAGGTGACGTGTGGTTAGTTTTAAGAAACGAGAAGGTAGTGCTATTGATGTTAGTATGGAGTGGCTTACCCGTTAAGCAAGGCAGCGCCAGCAAGGGCAATATGGACAATGAACTGCATTATGAGCTGCTTGGGTGGGTATAATCGGATAAGTGGAGTCTGGGGTCAAGGTAATGATGTCGGTAGTCGTCCGAAAGCTTGGCTTGTGTTGTATTGCATCTTTTCTCTCCGTCGATGAGGTGCTGGGGTTTATATATTTTCTTGGCAGGTCCCTTTTCAGTCGACGGATACTGGTCCGGGTGGCCAATTGTCTATTTTGGAACTACTCAAGGAAGTCGAGCCATGGTGATGGGACCGTGCTTGCTTTTTCCTAGGGAACGAATAGCGGTCTAGAGGTGATTCCCGTGATGTCCCCAGTGAGCTTATGGTGCAAATTACGAAGGATTAGCCCCTGGAAGCCAACGAAATACCAATTCGGGCTTCATAGATGATATCAAAGAGTTTGCTGTGTAACACGACGGATTTGCTTAGCTGAGATCAGAATCCTTCCTTCATTGTAAGCAAGGAAGAAGGCAAAAGCCTTAAGCTATTCGTATTAGTAATGGACATGGTAATTGCCAGCGTGATATTAGGGGGTCTGATCGTGACATGGAGACGGGTGTCGGCTCAGGAGTACTTTACTTAATCGGATATGGGCACAGGCGTCGGTTCCGAGACAGGGGACGAGGCGGTTCAGCTCGGATTTGCTACCAATCATTGGAACGCTCTCATAGGCTAAGATATTTGGCGAATTCGCGATCACTCAGCCCTATGGCTTGGAGTGTGAAAATCCTAGTGGTCGCGTGGAATTGTATCAATCTACTATCTTGGCATCCGACACGGCCCATAGAGGTTACATGACGCGAGTCTGCCGTGATATATAATATAAGCTGATATCTGGGGTATCACCAGGTAAACATGTGGGTTGGTGACGAAGTAGTGCTTGGCTTCATTCGATGATTTACGGTCTCATCTCGATATGGTATATTCCGAGGTCTGCAATACAGCATCACTACTTGTCCTTCAAGCGGGGATATGTCGGCTCCTCGAGCTGATGATGGTTTAGCGAGTTCACCGGTCTACCCTGGTCTTGCTATTATCGGACTTAATATACCTAGGTATATACCTACCTAGACAAATAGTCGGTCACGCTCAGGATTGTGCGCGTAGGTAATCGCTGCGATGGAATAAACCTATAGTTATAAGTTTGTCTCGGGTATAAGAAAGCTTCACCTAGTAAATTTAAGGGACATTTCTCTAAATACGTTCTAAAATATGCTTTACATAGCGAAAGGGCACATTACTCAACCACCAGCATCCGTTGAATAGGATGTTCTTCCATCTTCCCGACAACACAATTGTCATAATCACCACCCATCACTTCCTTCTCTGGTATTGATCGGTATTGGTGTATTACAGAATAAAGTCGAGATTTAATTGGAACCTTACCGAGTCCCTTTCCATGCAGCTGCCTTAATTTCGTTAATATAAACACGGTCATGCCCGTCTTGATAGCAAGGGTTGTCGCAATAATAACACTCCTGAACTAAAAGGCTTGAACATTCACGCTTCTAGAAACATTCTCTACGACTTATTTCCAGCGCTAATATTTTATACCTTACCTAAGGTATGACCTAAGGTATGGCCTAAGGTGTGTACCTAGGTCGGTACTTGACTTTTGATTGGAGATGCTATTGCAAGCGTTAAACGCGCGATATTCGATATTCCTAAAGCCAATAAAAACAATCATTTGATGATGCACTTTTCGCATCTGGACTTATACGATAAGATACTAACCTAGACGATATTGATTAATAAATACGGACTCGTCGGCCATAACGAAGTGCACCAGTCTAGCACTATACTATACGCGGTATGGTATATTCTAGTTTCATAAGAGATCTCGTATAACAGAATAGTAGGGTCACGTTGGTTATGTCTTCGAAAAGGACCCAGACCATTGGCTATTCGGCGTCATGCCTGACCTCCCTCGGTTGCGGCTACAATGATAGCAGTATGTAAAGGGAACCCAAATGGGTAACTAACTCTGGGGTAGCTCAAATCCTATTACGACATATTTGTAGCAGTACATACCAGGTAGTGTTATTAGCGTCGACGGTAGCGGCCGAGACAACAGATCCGAAAATGCCGGTCTACCAAATTTCAAACCCTCCAGCTGCCTATTTTAAAGGAGCTGGACCGGAAACAAATAAGTCGCTGTAAGTCGCCTACATTATGTAGCACTTTCAAAGGCAGGCTCTTAAAATTTTTCATTGTTCTTACCTTAATACTACCTCTCGTGGTAAGAAGTAGAAGGATCAAACGACCAAGGTCTCCCGTCATTGGTGCCGTTGGAGAAATACGCGGGGCATTCCTCGTATTACAACACTATTACATAGGTACCTATGTAGTACAAGCACTACGAAGTACTGATGCACAATAGGTTAGGTAGGTAGGTACCTGTGTTAGGTACTCAAGTAAGTATCTAGGTACCTTGATATTTAGCTGGTATGGGCGTGTTTTTAAGAATGCGATTTCCTCTAGTGTAGGCAGGTAGGCAATGGAATTACAGTACCTAGTGCCTTCAAATGAGGTCGTTGTTTCTCCTCCATCTCTCTCTATCGACATCATTCTTTGTCATCATCATCCCTCGTTCCATATGTACTGCTGATGTTGGATTTTCGACACCCACAGTTCACAAAACACCACACCTACACAAACACATCGCACCCAGTGTTGCCGTACTACATCGATCCTGTCTGTTGGGAGTTGCATTTGCAATGCCATAACCCCAGTAGAACCTGTCCGTTTTTTAATTCCATGTTCATATTCGTGTCCAACTAAACTTCCCCCATTCGCTCCGTTCCAGTTGAACTTCAACTCGTCGTCATGTGGTTGTGGCACTCGCGGCGGAATGCCGTATTATCGGTAGCCTCGGTCTTAATGGTTACCAACCTCGTCGCTACGTATGAGCTAGACGTTGAATCGCCAGGTATGTATGAGCTCACTACTTACTAGTATTTACCTAAGTTAGCTTCTTACGAAATGAAACTTTTAGATTCTGTCAAGGATATAGCCAAAATGATGGCAGAGGACTTGGTATCTTTCTATCACGGTAACGAACCCGGACAAACCCCCGGTCTTCTACCACAATCGTATTACTGTGAGTTCAATGCAACAAGTTACGTTCTATAAATTGCTAATTCATGGCATCAGGGTGGGAGGCGGGCGCTTTCATGGGCGCGTTAATTGATTATTGGTATTACACTGGAGATACCACTTACAACGATATCGCCCAGCAAGGTCTACTTCATCAGGTCGGCCCGTATAATGACTATATGCCTCCTAACCAGACACTTACCGAGGGTAATGATGACCAAGGATTTTGGGGGATGGCTGTCATGACCGCGGCTGAGTACAAATTCCAGGACCCGCCGTCAGATCGGCCGGGGTGGTTAGCACTGGCTCAGGCTGTTTTCAACACTCAAGCTGCTCGGTGGGATCCGGAGGACTGCAATGGCGGTTTGCGATGGCAGATATTCACGTGGAATACCGGCTTTGACTACAAGAATTCTATCTCGCAGGCATGCTTCTTCAACATCGCCGCACGGTTGGCGCTTTACACTGGCAATGCTACCTACGCCGATTGGGCCGTTAGAACGTGGGATTGGATGGTCAACGTCAAATTCATTGACGATAATTATAGAGTCTACGACGGAGCGCATATCGGTGACAACTGTACTACTATCACGCCGTATGAATTTTCGTACAACGTTGGCGCATTCCTTTTAGGATCAGCCGCCATGGTCGCATATGCAAATAATTCGAAACAGCAGGGCGATGTAGAAATGTGGCGCGAACGGGTAGATGGTCTATTAAACAGCACAGAGGAGATATTCTTTTTCGGAAACGACACTTCGAATCGAATTATGATCGAGATTGCTTGTGAGCCAGTTAATTTATGTGATACGGATCAGCAATCATTCAAGGCGTATTTGAGCAGATGGATGGCCGCCACTACAAAATGGGCACCCTGGACTTTCGATCGAATCAAAACTTTGCTGCAGAATTCTGCCGTAGCTGCTGCGAAGCAGTGTACCGGCGGTGATAACCACCGAATGTGCGGGTTGAAGTGGGCAAATAACAGTGGTGTATGGGATGGTTCGACTGGTGTTGGACAACAAATGGCGGCTATGGAAGTAGTACTGGCTAACATGATACATGAAGCTGAGCCACCGGTTACCAATAGCACTGGCGGAACCAGTGTTGGTAATCCTTCGGCGGGTGGCTCCGATAGTGGACGAGTAGATCCCAACGGGCGGTTTTTCTCTGGCCCGGTATCTGGAGGCGATCGAGCTGGTGCGGCCATCTGTACTGTTGTCATCCTCTTGACTCTCTTAGCTGGAGCGATCTTTATGATAGTAGATGAAACAAAATCAACAACTGATAACTGGATTAACTTTCGCTCGGGTATTTCTACCGCTTCCGGGCCAGCCGCATTAGCAGCCCTGACACCAGGCAGAAAGAAGGCTACGCTAGACGAAAAAGGAAAGGGACTTGGGATGGAAAGAAGTTCAAGTACTGAGACGGGCGAGAAAATCCCGTCAGGCTATGCAAATGGCAGGCTACAAAAGCGCCCGGAGGGTTTACAGCAAGCACAGCCTACAAAGCTAATGCCAACCTCGGGCGTACTATATTCAACGACAAACACCGTGCCAGCGGTAACTACGACTAATGAGAACCGCAAGTCAACCGCCGGAATCGGTCAGAGAGGGTCGGTACTTAGGAAACAGAGACAGTAAAACCGGATAATTGATCACACACAGGAATACACAAAGGACTTGCATTAGGACTGGCGTTTGAGGATATGGCATCTGCTATGAGGCTTTATGGACATTTCCACGGGGTTTACAGGGAACCATTCGGTCTATGGATAGGCAGGCATTGGGATGGATTTACAGGCAGAGCTATAAGATACCACGATCGTCTACACACTGTTCTCTTACCTACCTTTCTATATCGACTATCATTCTATGGTAGAAAGACCTTATGAATGTTTAAATCCGATGTTCTGACCTGGATGATACGTGCAAATGATGTGTAGACTTGGTCTGCTCCTCTTATTGGGACTGATATCATGGTAGCTAAGCAAAGGGATAGGAATGTTATTTCTACCATACGTTGTCCACGAAATTCAACACGCAGGGTCAGATGATTACGAATCTTCCATCGGGACGGGTGATACTAGCAAGGCGATACGCCGAAGTAATCAAGCATGGAAATGCGTATTGCTAGTAAGTCGATCTAGACAGTTAACCATATTTACCCCGGCGCTATAAATCTCATTGGCATATTAGATTCTAGATGGTTATTCTGATATTCTCCCTGTATGCAGGAGATCTATCTAAGCAAAAGCTAAGATAGCTAAGGTTGTTAGTCCTATTATTATAGGGTGATGTCTTAAGCCTTAGGTAGGTTAGCTCTTTGCTGACTTTGACAAACTGTCATTATAACATCGCATTTATATATGTCAAGTAGCCATCCGGGCTATTATGATGAAATTCGAGTTAATCAGTTTTATCCAACCTTCATATACCTACCATGAAATCTCATTCACTCAGGGG